AGACACACACACACACACACACACACACACACACACACACATTGAATCTGAGTTATCTGCCTGCTCGTGGCGTGAAAGGCATCGATCGTCAGGTTGTGTTTTTCATGATTTGATTTCTTCAAAGCTCTTGAGTTGCTGCTTCTGATCTCCTCTAAATGAATCAGTTAAACTGCAGTCTCTTCTTCACAGCCTGCTTCTCTGTTCAGTCGTTGTTTGTGGGCACTCGATCTGTAACGGCATATCAACTTCAACCAAAGCTGGCTACAGCTGCTTTTATGCGTATGATGAAAACTGTAAATCAGCTAAGTCCTTCCTGAACGTTAAATTAAAGAACACATCATGAAAACCAACATGCAGCTGCACCTGGAAGTTCAAACTAATACAAAAAGTGTGTGTGTGTGTGTGTGTGTGTGTGTGTGTGTGTGTGTGTGTGTGTGTGTGTGTGTGTGTGTGTGTGTGTGTGTGTGTGTGTGTGTGTGTGTGTGTGTGTGTGTGTGTGTACCTGCTCAGCCTGTACAGTAGAGATACTCAGTGTTTCTGCGGTGGTCTCTGTCAGCCGGCGGCCCCCCCCTCGGTGACTCTGAACACAAACGTCTCTCACTGCGTCTTTAGAGGGAGCCTCGGGAGAAACAACAACAAGATGTGTATTTAAAAATACAAAGTGCTAAATAGAGTATAGAAATCAAAGTGAGCCTCTGAGTTGCCAGATGAATGTAAAGAAGCAACGAGTCAGAGAGATGTGGAGAGTAACAGAGGGTTAGGAGGACATGGACATGCTTTAGTAAAGTACATTATACTTTAGTACTTATTACACTGCTTTTACTTACAAAACAAGTCTTTAATTAACACGAAATTCAACACGATTATAGAATATAATCAGACCGTTTTGTATTACAACATACAGGAGGTAAATACCACATAATAATAAGATATAAAAGATAAATAAACCCTGTTGTTAAACCCTGAGTCTCCATCCTGCTGACGCTAACAGGCTAATGTAATGCATGTTTTCACATTAATCAGAATCACCAAACGGCTGGGATGTAAAACAACACATAGAGCTTCAGTTCAAATGTTAAAAAGGTTAATAAATGTGATTATTTAATGTGAAAACCTTCAGAAGGAGCTGCAGGCTGTCGAAGTGCTCGCTGGAGACAGACGCCGCCATGTTGGCATGTGACGTTCCGTGACAGTCACGTGATAGAGACATGGCGCTACTGCTCATGGGAAATGTAGTACATGAGGGGAAAAAACCGTCATTTAAGAAATATCAAACCAGAATGAACTTATTTGTAGCCACAGCAAATATAATAACTCAAGGGAAAAACAGATACACATTAAATCCTGCAATCCTGGATCATGAATATATAACTTTATGTTAAAAAAGTCTTTAAACATTTGATATAAAAATACTATATAAAAACAATAAACTACAAAAAACATATAGTTTATATAAAATAGTATTTAAATAATACATGTTATTATTATTTAACCTTAATAAACTCTTTGTCATATTAATGCATTAATAATGAGGTCGGGGTGCAGCCGGAGGGAGGGGCGGAGCTGCGGGACTCTGCGGGGAACGGAGCCTCTCAGGCGGGATGGAGCTCCGCTGATCCCCGCTGCATGCAGGTGTGTGTGTGTCCGGGGAGGAAGATGTCTGTCTCCGGGATGAAGAAGCAGCTCCACAAAGCGAGCCAGGTAACAACAACCCGGGACAAACCGGGACAAATTGGACTGGTGTTTTATTTATGGGACATTTATTCCGGTGTCTGGAGGTTTACTGCGACACGAGGCCTGCTGCTGCACCTCTGCATCATAACAACAACACCTCACTTTAATGTGTGTTTACCTGTTATCTGACATTAGCATGAGGCTATTGTTGCTGCAGTAGCATGACTGAAATCTCTGCTGGACTGATACTGAGTACTTTACTGAGTACTTTAATACTTTCTACTTTTTCTCCACTAAAACTAATTTATTGTGGAGGAAGATTTGAAAAAGTATACAAAGCAGTAAATTAAACCCTCCAACAGTATACAAATACATTCAGTTATTATTAAAACACATCTTTAAAAATATGCCACATTATAATGGTGAAGAGAGAGTATATTACTTTTATGCTTATACAATTATATTTGAATAACCTATAATGAATATATGAAATATTCTGAATTGTTATAAACACCCTAAAGGTCTATGAACACATGATAAAATGAGCTCTATAGCAGCTACATGCTAAAATGCCCCTGAGTGTTATTACATATATAACAGTAACTCTCTGTGGAAATACAAATGTATACAAACATGTATTAAATCATAAATAAGTCAATACAAAATATATATAATAAACTAAGTTAATGTGGAAGAATGTGGAACAATAAAAGTTTTGTAGTCATTTTGTATATTTTGTTAGTAATTTTGGGTGATTTGGAGTAATTTTGTGTATTTTAGTCAAACTTTATGTTTACTATAATCTAATAACCTCCCACTGCTGCTAAATGTGAATACTGACCCCTGCCCATTGATGCTAAGCTAACGTTAGCTCCTCTCTGCAGCTGCTGAACGAGCGCCTGATGGGAGCTGAAGGAACTAAGATGGACGACGACTTCCTGCAGATGGAGAAGGTGAAACTGATCAAACTCATCCTTAGAGACTCCTTCATGTGATATAAGCCTGACGTGTGTGTGTGTGTGTGTGTGTGTGTGTGTGTGTGTGGGGGTGGGTGTGTGGGTGTGTGTGTGTGTGTGTGTGTGTGTGTGTGTGTGTGTGTGTGTGTGTGTGTGTGTGTCNTTGCCAGTGCCATCCCTGCCTACTCCAAGAGGGGCGACATCATCTTTGTGTAAGGCCTGTCTGTGCTAACATGCATGGAGCTACACAAAAACGGGATTCAGTGATCAGACTAGTATAGTATTTGTTTATTTGTCCCCGAGGGGAAAATGTGTTGCAGCACATCACAAAGGCATTTAAAAAAGCTAAGACAGTACGTCACTGACAACAACATAGACACAGATTAAAACAAACAGACATAAGAAAACCAGATATCGGCAGACATGACAAGGGGCCTATAGGACTAAACACTTGTCCCTACACCACCCTATACAAGCATGCTTTTCTTATTGGTTACTGGATGGGTGCTGTTGAGCATATATCATATACAGGGTTCTTACGGTCATTAAAAACCTGGAAAAGTCATGGAAATTCAAAAAGCTAATTCCATCCCCTGTAAAAGTTTTGGAAAACAATATTTTTCCCAAAGTTTTGGAAAAGTCATGGAAATGTAACTAAAGTTGCATCAAATACAATTTATATTTTATCTCCAAAATAGTAATACTATAATAATAATAAATACTGTATGGTATAGCAATGAAACGTAAAATGGCATTTAACTGACGAGGTGTTTTGCTGGTGAGAGATTAGAGTTGCTTTAGCGTGTAGAAGCTAGTAAGCCGATTTGTTTTAGATAAGGCACAACATGTTTCATATGCAGACCTTATTTTCCTGTTCCATGTTAAAATAAACCATTTTCAGTGGTACCGCTGAGAAAGAGTAATTTTTTTGGTCATGGAAAAGTAGGTAAAGGTCATGGAGAAGTCATTGGTGAAAAAGTGTATGAACCCTGCATATAAAAAAAACGACTTGAAACAACACTAACAGTTGCATATGGTTCTATGAAACTGTGGCGTGTTGGATTTGTGTTTTTTATTCTGTGTTGTCTCCATGGTTGTGTGTTCAGGGATGAAGCCGCCTGCTTCGCCATCCAGAAGGGTCTGCAGGCGTCCCGCAGCTTCATCAAATACTTCAAACACAACGACATGGAGGATCTGGAGCGGATGCTGAGGGAGCAGGAGCTGGAGGACCATAAGGTGGTTCAGTTTGAGACGATTATTATTGGGCGGGACTCAGGAGTCAAAATATAGTGCTTTTATGTTGAAAATGTAGCCAGTGTTTGTTATGAAGTCATATAAACTGTGTTTCTTATCAAAGTCTCATACACTTACTAACTTTGTTTGTGTTGCAGAATCCTCGTAAAGCTCGAGTGACCCGGAAGTTCATTGTGGTGGAGGGTCTGTACATCAACACTGCAGACATCTGTCCCCTTCCTCAGCTGGTACATAGAAAACACATGGAGCTTTAAGCATGCTCAATGTACTTCACAGTAACCTGTATCTCTATGATTGTTAAACTGGTCACGTGCTATCATAGAAAGTGTGTTTTTATATGGCGTGATCTCTTCAAATGTATTATTGATTGTGTTTTTTAAACCTCAAGGTGAAGATGAAGTACAGGTACAAGGTGCGGATCTTTCTGGAGGAGAGCATGTCGTTTGGTGTGTTGGGGGAGCACGGCCGAGGAGTCACTGAACACTTTGGAGTCAATGTGAGTATGCTCCACTTGCACTGCATTACATTTGAACACTGTTTTGTTTGTGGGGGGCAAAGCTATAGTCCTATCATTTGGTCATTAGCTGCACTCAAACACATTCAATTATGAAAGGCTTTTTCATTTAGCAAACTTAATATTAATGATTACATACAAGGACCAAAGAAAAAGGTTAGTTGAAGCATGACAGGCAGAAAGCAAAGCTTAAAGGGGACCTATCATGTAAAATACACTTTTTGATGTCTTTTATATAAAGATGTGTCCCCGGTATGTCGGGGAACTCACGCAGCGTCAGAAAATAAAACCCTCTCTCTTTTCCTCCGTACCCAAATCTCTAAAAACGGGGGAACAACGGAGCGGATCCAGATTTGCGTCCGATATGACGTAATATCTGAAATGTGGACCCACGGCCCTATCAGAAACGTTGCTATCAGAAACAATGCCCGACTGTTTTGGACGTAATATGGTCTGTGTTTACATTAGCATCGCTAACACTCAGAGCTAACCTGTACTGAGTACAGGTTAGCTCTGAGTGTTAGCGATGCTAATGTAAACACAGACCATATTACGTCCAAAACAGTCGGGCATTGTTTCTGATAGCAACGTTTCTGATNGTAATAATAAGAAGTATTGATCATTAATGTATAAGCAATCGGTGATATATTAGTTGCTGGGCTATAGAGCTGAAGGTTAATCTTACTTGTGCAAACAAAATAAACTTTGATTTGATTTGAAATTATTTTCATCACTTCTGCAGCACAATGCCAAAAAAAGAAAGAATTCAGAAAAAGAAGGAGAAGGAGCGCCAGGAAACAGCCAAGAGTAGCACATCTCTAAATGCACTGGTTAAAACCAAGTACCAGCTGCAACACACAAGAGAGAACAAATAACTCAAATGTTGAAAGTGTTACACCTGAGAAAGCAGTAGAGATCTCACAAGCAACATTGGAGAGACAAGGNNNTCTGACACAGAGTAAACCAGGGGTATTATTTGTCTTCACAAGTCTTTGGCTAAAGGGACATTTAAAACGGCCTGACGTCATCCTGCTGACCAATCAGGTGGACGCCAACTGCTACGAGGGAACGCTCGGCAGCCAAATCAAATCAAGTTTTATTTATACAGCAGATTTTAAAACGATTTTTGGTCGAGCCAAAGTGCTGTACATGCAATAAAAACACTTTACTGTGATAGCAAACAGAAGACAATAAATTACAACAGTAAAAATAAAAATCAAACACAGGGAAAGTCAGGAGTCGTGCTCCGCTCTGACTAGAAGGCCAGAGAGAAGAAGTGTGTCTTAAGAGTAGATTTAAAAACCTCTAGGGTCTGGGCCGACCTCACATGGAGGGGCAGAGTGTTCCAGAGCCTGGGGCCAGTGCTGAAGGCTCGGTGCCCTCGGGTTTAGAGCCTGGTCTAGGGCACTACCAGCAGCAGCTGGTCAGCAGACCTTAAGGCTCTGGGGTGTAGCGCTGGAGGAGTTCAGCTACATAGGAGGAGCCAGATCATTTAGTGCTTTGAAAACAAATAAAAGGATTTTAAAATCAGTTCTGAACCGAACTGGAAGCCGGTGCAGTGAGGCCAGAGTTGAGGGGATGTGGTCACGCTTTTTGTGGCCAGTCAGAAGACGTTCAGCTGCGTTCTGAACTAGCTGCAGGCGTCTGACTGACTGGTCCATACCACGTCAATCAGGACTCTTCCCCACTCACCGGGTTTTTTGTGTGTAAAGATGCTTTTAAAACATGAACCCTGTGCTGCACAATCAAGTGATATACATGTTCTGTTTCACAAGCAGCTAAGCTGCAGCATATCATATGGATGTACACAGAGTTATGAGACCATAAGTACAAAAGAAAAAACGAAATGTTATCACTCAGAAATGTATTGAAATCCCTCAGTGAGAAGCAGTCTCCAAGACTCTTCCTCAGAACATAGTTATTTCAAGTCTTGGTGACCGTGGGGAAAAACAAAATGTCTCAAAGATCAATATGTACCTATAATATTTACCAAAAGAAAAGTCATGGCGCTTTTATATCAAGAAGGCTAGCTGTGCCATTCCTCAGGGCAGCTTCTGTCTGGGGACACTTTATCTCACTCCTAAAACATCTGGATCTACTTCCATCGGGTTTAAAAAACACTCTTCTTGAAGTCTATAAAAAACCTGATTTCTCTAGAATAGATTACAAATCGCCTGAAAAAAGTACAAAGAAGCGCCACCTTTTTATATCAAATACAGTTTTGTACAAATAAAAATACACGTCAGGTTTATCTTAGTTTGAGTCAAGGACTGAGTGTCTCTCAAAGTGACACTCAGAATATAAGCATATATTAATGCACACAACATACGCGTGTGTCCAAAAGACAATTAAAGAGTTAATTAGTGCTAGAAGACGTCGTAATACCACAGACATATACGTTACACATAGATAAGGATTTAGTTAGACAAAAAGCAGCTAACAATATAATAATAGATGAGTCCATGCACAGGTCTGTTGGCACTGTAATGATGTCATGGTCACCTGACAGGATGTGTGTGTGTTTGCATGTTTGTTTATTGTGTGTGATTCATATGTTTAGATTTTAAACACCAGCGGGCTCATAAATCAGTTTAGATTATATTGATCTCGTTCAGGGCATTAATGTTAGCTTTGTATTCAACACAAAGACATTCAATTAAAACATGGACAGTTTTGTTTAATGCTAATTTGAAATAGTTGATGAGTTCCTTTGTTTTTCCCGATAAAGTCTTTTCAGCCTCGACCGAAAACCACGACGTCGCTCTGTTACTTTATTTTCTTTGAGGAGCGTTGACTGGTTTCCACTGAATGTAATCTGCTCTTCTCGGAGCACACACCATGTTTGCCGTCTGAAAGAAAACACGGAGAAGGTTTTTCTGCAATTAATCTGCAATTTCTCTGAATAATAAATCATTTCAGGTCTGAGTTTCTGATTTCTTGTCTGATCGTCTCAAACTCTGACATGTTTAGACTTGTTTGTTTAGTGCAGCGGTTCCCAACCTGTGGTCTGCGAAGGTATTGCATATGTGTATGTTTTGTACAGGCTATAGACACAAACATGGACACAACAATAACATATAGGAGATGACATTCCCATCTCAGACAAAAACAGAAGAAATAAAGATTTTTAAAGATAAATTGTATTTATAATCTACTCTTCAAACACCTTAAATTAAGATTACTCGTTGATTGACTTTTAAAAATATGCATTTTATCCAGAAGAGTACTTGTATTTATTAACTGTGTGGTCTTCATCTAAAAGCCCAAATAAAATATAAAAGGGTGTAAATGTAAATTCAATATTTGCCGCCAAATAATTTGCAAAACATTATGATTTGTGTGGAAACATTTTCATTATTAAGAATTTTATTTTTATTTGAACCTCTTTTCCTTTGTCTTTCTTGATCCTCCCTAGCAACAGCCATTACAGTAGGCCTACTTCGCAACGGTCATTACAGTACTTAGCAACGGTCATTACAGTCCTTAGCATCGGTCATTACAGTCCTTAGCAACGGTCATTACAGTCCTTAGCAACGGTCATTACAGTCCTTAGCATCGTCATTACAGTCCTTAGCAACGGTCATTACAGTCCTTAGCAACGGTCATTACAGTCCTTAGCAACGGTCATTACAGTCCTTAGCAACGGTCATTACAGTACTTAGCATCGGTCATTACAGTCCTTAGCATCGGTCATTACAGTCCTTGACAGCAGTCTGTTCTACTGGATTAACAACGTGTCACATGTTCAGAATTGACCAATCAGAACTTTATTTAGCCTCCGTATTGTTTATGGTTGAATGTGAGCCGCAAAAACATTTTTGATTCTTAAGTGGGCCTGAGTTGAAAAAGGTTGGGAACCGCTGGTCTAGTGGGAACAACAACCCTCCTTCTTTGTAGAATTCTACGTGGCGAGGTCCCAGTTCTCCTCCTGCCCTGCCGTGGTTTTATATATATATATATATATATATATTCTATCTATATGGCGCTGGTTTTAGGGAAATAGCGTGTGTTTTTGTCAGCTTAATTTACACATTCTGTAGTTGTAGAAGTATTAGTAGTAGTAGTAGTAGTAGTAATATTATTATTAGCAGTAGTAGTGTTAGTTTGTGTTGCTGTTGTTGTTGTTGTTGTTGTAGTAGTAGTAGTAGTAATATTATTATTAACAGTAGTAGTGTTAGTGTGTGTTGTTGTTGTTGTTGTTTTTGTAGTAGTAGTAGTTTATGTTGTTGTAGTTCCCTCCTCCGGCCGGAGGGGGAGCAGCTGCTGCCGGTCGTTTCCCTTATTCTTCCGCCTGTGGATTTAAAACTTCCGCCGGAAGTCTTCTCGTCCTCTTCTACCAGGCCGATCCAACATGGTGGGTGATTTTTAAACTTCTACGTGTGTAATCCGAATGAATCCTGGCTTTGAATCGCTTTATATTGTTGAATATTATAATGAACGGACACCGGAGTGTTTGATGTACCCGATAGCTGCACTATTTAAATGCGATGACTCTAACGGAGATGATTATTAGTGATTATTGTGTCGGGGAAACTGCAGCTGAAACACCCGCGTTTACATTCATTATTTAAATCAATATTTAACCTCATTGTTCAAAGTCTTCTCTCACCGGGCAAGACTTAGTAACTCTGCTGTTCAATATGTCTGACAATGGGCTTTCTAAAGTGGTTAACATACTACGAAATGTACATGTCCGTTAGTTAGCATTGGAGGCTAACCGAGAGCTAGCTCCGTGCTCACAATGCTTCCTCACGAGCTGACTCACATCCCGGTTAAACACACTATTACCTGCGGGACAGGTGTGTGGAACTGGTCATATCTTTCAGTGTTAATGTTGTATATTTAATCTGCTGCTGGTAGTGTAACTATGAAGAAATCCAGTTGCCATTAAATGCTCATCTAGGCCTAGGGTATAAAACATCACATTTAAATAGTTCAGATCAGATATTCATGCATTGAGGTGAATGCAAAACATTAAAACCGCTAAAATAGTATCCTTAGATTGAACCTGACCAGATATAGATAGCTGATTATTTAGTTAAAGTTCAATGAGTGTATTCAGTATCTCAGATGTAATCTTAAAAATCTGGAATTTACACAAAATCCATTAAACCAAACCTGTTAATGCTACTAATATCTACATCTAGGTTAATGGATGGAAATGCGGCGCAGCAGCTGCATTGAGTCTAACAGAGAGAGAGCAAATTGGAAATGTAGCCATCCTGAAAACTGGTTATCAATAAGATATTAATGTCTCTTTCTTTGTGTTAAGGATCAAGTTTGCTTTGTGTTTTCAAACCCTGTATCGAAAGTGATCATGGTGTCCTCGTCGCCAGGTCATTGATAGTACAGGAAGATGAAGCTGGAAGCCTTTCCCGTGTCTGAAGGATCCTCTGTTCCTATCAGACCCTGGCGCTCCCAAACATTTAGATCTGTGTTCGTTCTGAAGTCTGGTGTTTGATGTGGTTTCCTCCAGAGAGTCTGGAGGTGATGGATATATTCATCTGGCTGAGAGTTGATGTGTGTTTGTCTTTGTGTGCTGCAGGACTTCGGCGGCCTGTCCAACCTGCAGGTGACGCAGCCGCCCGTCGGCATGAACTTCAAGCAGCCCCGAGGAGTCTGACGTCTGTAAAGTATCTTAATAATAAAAACCCTCTGGGACAAAAACCTCTGCTCGACTTCTCATTCCTGAACCAAAGCCCTTCGTATGGACGTTTTAGAGACAACAACAACTGTCTCTTGCACGAAGTAAGGTTAGACAAGTGACCCTGAAATGCCTTCACGGAGCGTCGAGGGCATCATCCAGAGAACAGCAGGGTTTAGAGGTCCTTTTCTCAAAATGAGTTGTTTCTCCTCTTCTGAGTGAGGAATGTCCTTCAGGAGCACGACACCAAACCTCCCACTTATAGTCCTATCAATATTCTGAAGCACTTGCATATCAGATAGGAACGTGTATACACATCAATATCTGATATATTATATATACATTATCAGCTATAACATTTCACATGTTGTAGTCCTATAGAACTACAATAATAATATAGATATAAAAGAAAGAATCAGAATCCCTTTAGTCCCACAGAGGGGAGATGTGCAGCGTTACAGCAGAGCCACAGACAGCTTAGTGCTGCATATCTGACATGCGTTAAAAAAGTACTACGTTATAATATAATAAACAATATGCTAAAAAAGTTACATCATTTTCAAAAATACAGATCAAAAACAAATCAAATCCTGTAGCAGTTCTTAGGATTTAGCAGCCCGGTATATATTACAGTTATTAATGATGGCATATGTATATAAAGTATATATTGCACATAGTTTGACGGTATTTAACAGCAGCAAGTTACACCATCTACAAAATACAAGATACATACCTTGTAACAGTAACAAGGGTTTAGCAGCCAGGTATAAATTACAGTTATTAATGGTATATATATATATTGCACATATTGCACAAAGTTGGTTTGTATTTAGCAGCAAGGGGTGTTATAGTCTGTGTTGTGGTGTGTGTACAGTGTTTCCCACAGAATTTGATTCTATTTGTGGGGGCACCGCACCCCCGCCCGGCAAGAAAAGCCAAAGGCCCCTTANGTGTGTGTAGGAGGGTCTATAGGGGCAGTGCTGGTTGTAAAGTCTGAGCGCTGCAGGAAGGAAGGACCTGCGGTATCTGTGTGACAGGTGGGGTGCAGCAGATACATAAGTGTCCTACACTAATGATACAAAGTTACTAAGGCATTGTATGATGTGTGTTATTTGTAACATCTTCAGAAACTACCTTCCCAGCTCCTCATGCAGTCGACTGTCACAGGTCTGTACTGGTTCATGGTTCATCAGCTTCAGATCGAGAGACTGGAACTCTATCTTCCTTTACCGTTCGGTTTTAATTTCACAATAAAGTTAATAGTCTTATGTTTGATATTATGTTTTAACTCCACCACTGTTTTTTTTAACCCACACCGCCTAGTGGTTAAAACACGTTATTGAATGTTGAGTTATATTTGAAAACATTTAAATATGAAGA